TGGAACTGGAGTTAAGGATGGTTCGTAGCCACCATGTGGGTGCTGGGAATCGAACCCGGGTCCTCTGCAAGAGCAGTCAGTACTCTTAACCACTGAGCCATCTCTCCAGCCCTTTTTTTGTCTTTTTGAGACAGGGTTTCCCTGTAGCCCCAGCTGGCCTGGAACTCACTACGTAGATCAGGCTGGCCTAGATCTCAGAAAGAACTGCCTGCCTCTGCTTCCCAAGTGCTAGGATTAAAGGTGTGCACCACTACACCAGCTGCTTTCCTTTTTAAAGCAGCAGATTCCTGTTATTTTCTCCAAAGAAGCCTTCTATGAACCCTGAATATGTAAAAAGCAGACATGCTCAGACCAGCCACATCAGCATTCCTACCACTGTGCCCTAAAATGGCTCTTAAACACAGCATTGGGAATTAAGAGGTTAATGCTCAAGAAAACGAAAAGTACTAAAGTTTGACCAATGATGGAGTGAAATTAACTTACCTGACTACCACAAATATTTTCATATTCTTCTACAAGATCAAAAACTGTAGTTGAAGAGTGCTTCAAAAAAGACTGCAGGAAATCAGAGAACATACTCATGGATGCTAAAACACAATGAAATGAAAAGGAACAAGGAAAAGTTAAGCTACATACTTTAGGAAATTCTGTTGGCTTAAAACCACAAAAAATAGCTATACATGCATTATTTTAAAACCTAGTTAAATACCTATTATGAAAACATTACCATTTTATGATGATAGCTTTTTCTTTTTTCTTTCCTTCAGTTTTCTCTGAGGAAGTCTTAATATGGTTTAAAAATTACTTTGAGGGGCTGGAGAGATGGCTCAGCGGTTAAGAACACTGGTTGTTCTTGCAGAAGACCCAGGTTTGAATCCCAGCACCCACATGGCAGCTAACAACTGTCTGTAACTCCAGTTCTAGGGGATCCGACAGCCTCTTCTGTCCTCCACTGGCACTGCACGACATGGGTGTACTTACCTACATGCAGGCAATACACGCACGCACACACATAAAATAAAAATAATAAAAATAAAAATAAAAAGTTAAAAATTACTTTGGATAACCTGGCCTGGTTTACGAGTTCATTTGATGTCCCTTTCTTCTATTCTTTTTAAAGAACTGTTGTCTTTCTTTTTTATTTTTTTAATTATTATTTTTATTTTATGAGTGTATTGCGTGCATGTATGTGAGTGCACCCATGTTGTGCAATGCTGCAGAGGTCAGAAGAGGGCTCTGGATTCCCCTGGAACTGGAGTTAAGGACGGTTCATAGCAGCCATGTGGGTGCTGGGTATTGAACCCAGGTCCTCTGCAAGAGCAGACAGTGCTCTTAACTGCTGAGCCATCTCTCTAGCCCCAGAATTGTTGTCTTTCTTATTTGTAGGATGATTCATTTTTCTCCTTTTTAAAAGATATATGCAATACAAGCCAAATGTGGTGGCACACACCTTTAATCCCAGTGCTTGGGAGGCAGAGGCAGACAGATCTCTGTGAGTTCAAGGCCAGCCTGGTCTACATAGAAAGCTTCAAGCCAGATGGGGCTACAGGGAGACCCCACCCTAAAGAAAAAAAAAAAGGCAGAAGAAAAAAGAAAAGAAAAATGTCATAATTCATACTGCTACTGTAAATACATAATTCATAATACTACTACAAATTGTAAATACTTAATACATAACCCTATTGTATGCAGATCTGTGACTGTTGGCCATGTCATCTCAGAGGATCAGATCAAGTTTACTTCCTATATTAAAAAAAAATTACCATTTTAACAATTTTTAAGTGTTTAGTGCAGCGGCATTAAGTATATTCACTGTGGTGTTGCCTGCACCAACACCCACCCATTGAACACCCACCCACAGAAACTCCCTATCTATACTCCCCCTGTTCCTTGGAAATCAACATTCTACTTTCTGTCTCTATAAGTGTGACTACTTTAAGTACCTCATGTAAGTCAAATGATAGTTATTTAGACAGGGTCTCATGTAGTCTGGGCTGGCCTCATAGTCACTGTACAGATGAAGATGACCTTGAACTCCTGATCCCCTGTTGCTACCTCCCAAGTGCTACGATTACAGGCATAGGTCATCATACCCAAGGGCCTTTGTGTATGTCTTCTATGACTTATTTCACTTAGGAAAGCAGCCTCAAAGTTGACCCATGTTGTAGCATGTCAGAATGTTCTTCCTTTTATAAAGGCCTGTAATCCCAGCTACTGGGAAGACTATAGCAGGAGGACCACAATTTCTAGGCCTGCCTGGACTATATATATAGTGAGTTCAAGGCTAGACTGGGTAACTTAGTGAGTCCTAGTATAAAAACAGAAAAAGCTGGAAATACCTGCCAGGCACGAGGCCCTGGGATCAATCCTCAGTGCTACTAAAGTCCTTCTTTTGGGGCTAAATAATATGCTCTGTATGTGTAAGCCACAATTTGTTTTCCATTCATCCATCATGGACACTGAAGTTGCTCCCACCTTTTGGATACTAGGAATAATCCTGCTATGAACACAGATACATAACTCTCTTTGAGGAACCTGTTTAAAATTATTTCCACCCAGTAGTGGAAATGCTATATTGTAAGTCAACTTTAACAGTTTACATTTTCTTATTTTTGCCAACAGTGGTTATTTTCTAGGTTTGATTTATATTTTTGTTGTTGGTATTTGTTTTGTTTGTGTCTCATGTAGCCTAGGCTGCCTCAAATTTGCTATGTAGCCAAGGTTGTCTTGAAGTCCTAATCTTGCTTCTAGCTCCAAGCGCTGGTGTTATAACATGTGCTACCACCCTGTCTACCAATTATGGTATTGTTGAATATATTTCCATGAAATTATTTGCCATTGTATATCTTCTTGGGAGTAATGTTTATTCAAGTAATTTGTTCAATTTTAATCAGACTGATGATAATTTGCTATTGAGTTATGGGAATTATTTTGTGTGTGGGTTTTTTGAGTGTGTCACTCTGTAGCCTTGAACACATAATAATTCTCCTGCTTCATCATCAGGAGTGCTAGAATTATAGGTACCAGCCACTACTGGTTAGGAATTCATTATATTTTCAGATAGGAATCCCTTATCAGATATACGATTTGCAAATACTTTCTCCTTTTTCAATTGCCCTTTCACTATATTAATTTAAAAAAAAATTTTTTTTTTTTTTTTGGTCTTTTTGAGACAGGGTCTCCCTGTGGCCCCAGCTGGCCTGGAACTCGCTATATAGGCCAGGCTGGCCTCAAACTCAGAGATTCCCCCCGCCTCTGCCTCCAGAGTGCTGGGACTAAAGGTGTGCGCAACCACACTTGCCAAATATGTTAATTATTTTTATTTTATGTGTATGAGTGCACTGCCTGCATTTATGTTAAGTGCACCCATGTTGTACAATGCCTGCAGACATCAGATGATGGCATTGGAGTCCCTGGAACTGGAGTTACAGACAGTTGTTAGATGCTGTGTGGGTATTGGGAACTGAACTGGGTCCTCTGCAAGAGAAGCCAGTGCCCTTAACCACTGAGCTATCTCTCCAGCCCCTCACTATATTAATTTTATATTCATAAGTATATACATTTAAAGTTTGTATATAATCTAGTTTATCTAATTTTAATTTTCTTGCCTGTTTTTGAAGAACCCAAAGATACACTAGCTATTAAAGTCTTTTTTATATTATTAACAATTACAAAAAAAAGGGCTGAATTTTAGAACACTGGAATTCTACTTTAGTGCAGCACAATAAAGTAGCTGACAGTTATACTATACAGCAAATACTATGCTGTACTCAGGGAAAGTGCAGACACTTTAATAATAACTATAGTATTTAAGGTCTTACTGCTAAATGGAATTGCTGTATTCAACATCTGAGTACATACTATTGGGAAATACTGTAAGAAAGTTGTAGTAAGTGCTACTATAAGCAGCAAGGCTCTGGAACCAAGCCATTTAGATACCCTAGTGTTACTTCCTAGACAAATGATCTAAAACAAGTTATTTCTTTGAGCAGCAATGTCCTTTCTTCTAAAATGGGAATAATTGTTTTAACAATTTAATGGAGCATGATAGGTTTACAGTGGTTAATGCATGTACAGTGGTAAGCACACTCACTAGTACTCATCTATGTTAGCATATGATGACAGCAAATGACAAAAAAAAACCCATGTAACGGAACGATGCACAGGTCTGGATGCTACATGCAAATGGCATTTTCCCCAAGGGAACAGGAATAACTAAACTGAGCGAGCAAGGCTGTAACACCATCTGAAAAAACATTATTAGTCAGTTGGGCGTGGTGACACATACCTTTAATCCCAGCACTCAGGAGGCAGAGCAAGCGGATCTCTGTGAGATGGAGGCCGACTGGGTTCATATAGCCAGTTCCAGGCAGCTGGGGCTACGGGGAGACCTTATCTCAAAAAACCAAACCAAACCAAACCAAACCAAACCAAACCAAAATAATCCCCCCAAAACCATTATCAGTGCCTTGGGCTAAAAAAAAACACATTAACAACGTTAGATTCAAATCTAAACCGAAAGAAAAAGAGTTGCTTTCCCAGTGACACAAAAAAAGAAATATGAGACTTGGATAATAATCTAACAGCCTGTCATTTACATTAAAATGGCAAGATGCTGCTCCAACTGAGCATTTGGGCAAGGCTATTGATCTTCTTGAGATGGTTATGATAGTGATTAATTAGCATAATGAAAAATTATAATAGAGGGACTACAGAGATGGCTCAGTGTTTAACAGCACTGGCTGCTCTGGCAGAGGACCAGGGTTTATTTCCTAGCACCCACATGACTCCAGTTCCAGGGGAATCCAATGCCTTCTTCTGACCGCCTCAGGGATTGTACGACACAGGTGCACTTATACACATGCAGGCAATATACTCATACACACTAAAAATAAATAAATAAACAAACAAACAATAAATAAAGAATTATAGATAGGAGGAAGACCATGCAAGGCACTGGAGGAAAAGAGTGATCTGCAAGCCAAGGAGAGGAGGTCTTAAAAGACACTAACCTTACCAATATCTTTATCTTGGATTTGAAAAAAATATATTTGTTTTTAAAGCTACATTCCCCAAACTGAACTCATAGAGATGCACCTGTCTCTGCCTCTTGAGTGATGGAATTAAAGGCACAGGCCACCACGTTTGGTGAAAGTATGTATCATAATGATTGTAAGGAACAGGAGGTTAGTTTCCTTGACATTAGTGAAGTAATATGCTACATTATTCAAGTCATTTACCAGCCTCTCCAGGATCATCTTCACGTAACATAACAGCACTGAGATTCACATCTTCTGTTACACTGTGGGCTTCCATGTTTGTGAAGAGTCCTAAACGCTGTGATGAGAGCGCAGCTGCCCAGTTACTGTCATCCAGATTAGTTACCTTAAAAGATTACAGAAAAGAGAAGGCTGGAGAAGTGGCGGTTAAGAACACTGGTTGTTTTTGCAGAAGACCCAGGTTCGAATCCCAACACCTACATGGCAGCTAACAACTGTCCGTAACTCCAGTTCCAGGGGATCCGACAGACTCTTCTGTCCTACATAAAATAAAAATAATAAATAATATTTTTAAAAAATACAGAAAAGCAATGATGCTATTGTCTTTAAATGAGTTAATTAATACTAAATAGGATTTTTTCCCCAATCTTACATGTTTTCATTTTTAAAGGCCAGTCAACAGATTCCGCTAAGAGAATTATGGGTTTTATTTACATTATTCATTTTTTATTGCTCTGGGGATTGAACCTAGGGTCTTATGCATGACAGGCAAGCACTTTACCACTGAGCTATATCCCAAGCAAAAGTATGGGTTTTAAAATTGTGATTCTTGGGCGTGGTGGCGCACTCCTGTAGTCCCAGCACTTGGGAGGCAGAGGCAGGTGGATCTCTGTGAGTGAGATCACTCTACATAGTAAGTTCCAGGACACCTGGGGGTTTAGAGTTTAGAGGGAGACCCTGCTTCAAAAAGATCAAAATAAATAAATAAATAAATAAATAAATAAAAAATTGTGATTCTAGGGGATGGAGAGATGGCTCAGCAGTTCAAGAGTGTCTGCTGCTCTTCTAGAGGTCCTGAATTCTGTTCCCATCACCCATGTCTGACAGCTCTAACCATCTGTAACTCTAGTTCCAACATATGATGCCCTCTTCTAGCCTGAGGGCACCTGTACACACATGGTATACATTCACACATGCACAACACGTAAAATTAAAAATATATATATAATCTATATATCTACATATCTATATATATAGATATATAGATATAAATTGTACTTCTAGCTGGTGGTGAAGTAGCTTCCTGGCATGGAAAAGACCCTGAGTTTGACCTCCAGCACCACTAAATTGAGTGTCGGTAGTACATGCCTATAATCCTAGCACTTAGGAGACAGAGGTGGGCATCAGAAGTTCAAGGTCATTCTCAGTTACCTAGTAAGTTTAAGGTCAGCTTGGGCTACCCAAGACCTGGTCTCCATAAGATCCTGTATATCTGTCTATGTACTACTCCATGATTATTATTTTTTAAGATTTATTTCTTTTGATTACTTTCATTTTATGAGTGTTTTGCCTGCATGTGTATATTGTCATGCCCAGCTAATATGTGGGAGGAAATGCATGTGGGTGTAAAACAAAATTAGTTATGGTGCTGATAACTGGGGATGCCGGACAATGGGCATATGGGGATGTAGTGTATTATTTTACTTTTTGAACATGTCTGAAAATATGTTTTTTTTTGTTTTTTATTTTTTAGACAGGATCTCTCTGTAGCTCCAGCTGGCCTGGAACTTGCTATGTAGACCTGGCTGGCCTCACTCTCACAAAGATCCACCTGCCTCTGTCTTCTAGTTATTGTTAAATTTTTTAAAAATTTACCTTTATTGCTGGGTGTGTTGGTGCAAGCCTTTAATCCCAGCAGAGGCAGAGGATCTCAGTGAGATCCAGGCCAGCCTGGTCTACTTAGTGAGTTCCAGGCTAGCTGGGAACAACTACAAAAGAAAACTTTTATTGTAAATCCAGACATGAGCAACAATAAGAAAAGTTATCTTTACTCAGCTTCCCCAAGGAAAAAGCTAAGGATAGAGTTTAAAATGCTTGCCTATCACACAGGAGAACCTGGCTTTGATTCCTTGGGGAAGAACGGCTTAACCTTGTCTGATTAAGGCAAGGTTAAAAAGGCAAAACTATTCTTCAGAAAATAGGGAGCATTTCATGTGTGCATAAAAATCTCTCTGCCTGTTTAATAAAGCACAATGCCAAAGACAGAAAAACCACACTGATTTTGGAACTAAACGAGTCTTAAAAGTCTACTACTAGCTGGGCACGGTGGTACACGCCTTTAATCCCAGCAGAGGCAGGCGGATCTCTGTGAGTTCAAGGCCAGCCTGGTCTATATAGTGAGTTCCAGGACAGCTGGGGCTACAGGGAGACCCTGTCTCAAAAAGACCAAAAAAAAAACAAAAACAAAACAGTCTACTACTATGGTACAATTTTTCTGTTTCTTTCTGAGACTTGAGTCTCTCTTTTCTAGGCTGTAAAGCTATCGTGCACCACAGCTTGTGGAACATTTCTAGACTGTAAAGCTATCATATGCTATAGCTCATGGAGCATTTCTAGACTGTAAAGCCATCACACACTACAGCTCATGGAACATTTCTAGACTCTAAAGGCCACTGTGCACTATAGCTCATGGAACATTTCTTCTGCTGTTTTCAATACTGTACCATAGTGATTCCTAAAAAGCATCTTATCTGCTTCTCCTAAAATGTTTTCTTTTATACTACTAGTAAAATCAAAGAAAGCTTCCTGTACTTTTAACATAGATCACTTCTCTGACCAAATGTAAGAAGGGTTTTCCCTACACAAATAATGAACCACTCAGCAACAGACACAGGCTGGGTATTTTCTTTTCTTTTCTTTTTTTTTGTCTTTTTGAGACAGGGTCTCCCTATAGCCCCAGCTGGCCTGGAACTCACTATGTAGACCAGGCTGGCCTTGAACTCACAGAGATCCGCCTGCCTCTACCTTCCAAGTGCTGGGATTAAAACCACCATGTCTGGCTTCAGGCTGGGTGTTTTCTAATTCAATTCTGGTACCATCTGCCATCAGATCCCAGACTTAGTCTTTCTCTTCTTCCTTATGATAGTTATCATCTGTTGTCAGTCTCCTCTTTGTGCTGTGTGTGTGTGTGTGTGTGTGTGTGTACGTGAGGGGTGGGAGCTGTGTTCACGTGGGCACATGTGGAGGCCAGAGACTGAATTGAGATGTCTCACTCTATTGCTTCTCCACCACTTTATTTATTTATTGGGTTTTTTTTTGTTTGTTTTGAGACTGGGTTTCCTGTAGCCCCAGCTAACCTGGAACTCGTGAAACAGACCAGGCTGGCCTCAAACTCACAGAGATCTGCTGGCCTCTGCCTCCTGAGTGCTGGGATTAAAGGCATGCACCATCACGTCCAGCTCCACCATTTTATTTTTGAGACAGGGTCCTCCACCGAACCTCGGGCTGTTTCAACTGGACTGGCTAGCTAGTGAGCTCTGGGACTGCCTGCCATGGCCCCAAGCACTGGGATTACTGTGCTGTTACACAGGTGCTAGAATCTGAACTCCAGTTTCATGTTTGAGTGGCAGGCACTCTGAGCCATGTCTTCAGCCCTTTTTGTACTTTAAAACAGGGTTCAGTTTTAACTGCCATCAGTAATCAATTCCAGAATTGATTTCATTTGGTGAGCAAACTATCAGTCACATTCAGGTATCTTAACTACATACAAATGTTGGTGCTATTACTTTTCTTCTGGGACATGAGATTATTAAAAGTTTGTGTTTCAAGAGAGTGCCTGTTCCGGCCTCCCTCTGGCATAGGGGCTGAGAACTCAGCAGACTGCCTGGGAGCACCTGGATCCTGCCTCCACATGGTGAAGCCTTTGAGAGGGAACTGACACTGACTCCAACAGCTATCAAAATGCCTAAAAGCAAATCCTGAATCCATCACATTTGAGTCCAGCCTTGGCAGACAAAAGAAAAATGAGGAGGAATCCAATAGAGGGATGCTTTTGGAAGCTCTCATCAAGAAATCCCAATGGACTCTCACATGAACATTTGAAATCTGCCCTGTTCCGATTTTTTTTCTAGTTTCCTGTCTAGAACTGGTAACACTAATTACCCTTGTCTCTACTTCTCCTTCACATCTCCTATTCACCAGTCAAGGACTTTCTTTTCCCCCTACAGATAAGAGTTATGCAATTTGGGAGTTTTTAGCACAGAAGAAGCCAGAGTGGTCTGTGTCCCGATTCTCTATCCACAAGCTGGGTAACCTCTTCAGAGGGTGGTGTGATAAGTATAGGAGGTAGGAATTGGCTTGGCAGTTAGGGTAAAAAGACCCCAAAGAAAAGTAGCCAGTTTCTTGGCTAAAAGTCAAAATGTTCTTGGGCCTCTTAGCAACATACTGTGTTCTAAAGGCCAAAAACATTGAAAGTATTTGGGAGCTCTTATCTAATCCTTAAAAGATTTTAGTGTTGTCTCTTCAGAGGGGGCAATGTTAGAGTAGCAAAAAGCCCCATTTAAAAAAAAAAATACATGAAGTTATCAGAAAAAAGTGATGGGGAGATATGGGAGAAGTTGGAGGGTAGGGAGTCGGCATGGATTTGACCAAAATATCTTATATGCCTGATTGAAATTCTCAATAAATTATTAAATAAAGAAAATGCCACGGAGGTCAGAAGAAGGCTTTGGATTCCCCTGGAACTGGAGTTAAGGACAGTTTGTAGCCGCCATGTGGGTGTTGGGAATCGAACCTGGGTCCTCTGCAAGAGTAGTCAGTGCTCTTAACTGCTGAGCCATCTCTCCAGCCCATGTTTGTTTCTTAAGTGCCTAACCCATGATATTAATCTACAGAACCTAAAGTGACTTTTTTTTGACAAATATGATTTCTACTTTTATTAAAGGGGTTTTTTTGTTTTGTTTTGTTTTGTTTTTTGTCTTTTTGAGACAAGGTCTCCCTGTAGCCTCAGCTGGCCTGGAACTCGCTATGAAGACCAGGCAGACTCACAGAGATCCACCTGCCTCTGCCTCCCAAGTGCTGGGAGTAAAGGCATGTGCCACCACGTCCAGCTTCATTAAAAGTTTGTTTTTTTTAAAAAAATATATTTTTATTTTATGTGTATGCATGTATTGCCTGCATGTATGTAAGTACACCCGTGTCGTGCAATGCCTGTGGACAGAAGAGACTGTCGAGTCCCCTGGAACTGGAGTTATGGACAGCTGTTAGCTGCCATGTAGGTGCTGGGATTCGGACCCAGGTCTTCTGCAAGAACAACCAGTGTTTTTAACTGCTGAGCCATCTCTCCAGCCTCCATTAAAAGGTTTTTAAGCCAAGTATTAAAAAGGATAAGCTTTAGCCTGCATTTTATACATACCATGGACAGATTTCCCAAGAACCCAGAAGACTGTGTATGCCGGGGAGACCTCCCTTCTGTTCCAAGAATGCAGGAAATATCTGGATGTCTTAGTAGGCTTCGGCTTGGTGGAGTAACTGTAAGTGAAAGGTTAGAGCACTGTCAATACAAAACAAGGAAACAAACAATAAAGAACCATTTTTCAAGTGGCTGGGGAGATAGCTAAGTCAGTAAAAGTCCTTGCTATGCAAGCACAAGGACCCAAGTTTAATACCCAGTACCATGTAAAAAAGCCATGTGGTCCCAGTAAGACTTGGTGGCAAAAAGGTGGATGACTTCTAAAGAACAACAGCAGAGGTTTCTCTCTGGCCTCCACACACACCCACACATGCATACATGTTTCTATGCAAACACCCCACTCATGAACACACACATACCACCTGTACACAAGAACATGCGCACACACCCAACTCAAAGAGTAATTTCTCAGTTTTCAATATTTAGATTCAGACCAACTAATTACTTTAAATGTTAACATTTTCATGTTATGAAGATTTAATTTATTTCTCTAAATTTGAGCTTTTGGTACTATTACGAAAATTTTTATTATAAAACAGAAACTTTCAGAATAATGTAACTGAACCGAGCAGCTTAAGGAAAATAAAAAGGCAAAGTCAACTGATCCTTCATGCTCCAATTTTGTAGTGCACAATTTTGTAGGGTAGTGAAGTGGGCTTATGCTTTAGAGAAACAGACTATTGGCAGAATCCAAGTTTTATTGTCTAAACAATGGAGCTAACTCATTCACACTGACTCTTCTAAGTCTCACTTGCAGTTTTGGTAAAACAGAGATAACAGTATGTCACAGTTACTTTGTATTTCTATAAAGTACAGTGCCTTGTTCAAAATGAGTTCAGAAAACTGTAATCATTAGTATTTACGCTTACTTGCTGATACTGTAATCAAATAGTTTATTATGTAAATTATATAAACATTAGCTCATATTATGACTACTATTATTCTTAAATACTATTAAAGCCAAAAAAAAAAAAAAAAAGGGGGGGCTGGAGAGGGGCTCAGCGGTTAAGAACACGTCTTAAGTTTTTTCAGAGAACCCAGGGTAGATTCCTAGCACCCACATGGTAGCTAACAACCATCTGTAACTCCAGTTCCAGGGGACCTAACACCCTCTTCTGTTCTCTTTGGGGCATTGCATAAAACCATGGTGTACTTATATACATGCAGGCAAAACACTTATACACATAAAGTAAAGATTAATAAAAAGCAAAAAAAAACCCAAACAAAAACCCAAAACCTCAAACAAACAAACTTACAAGGCTGTCGAAATGAGCTGGGAGTTCGAGGGATAATCTGGTTTCTTGGTGTAGTATTACCAAAATTTTCGTCTTGGGTGGCCCGAACTTTAGAAAGAATTAAGAAAAACTTTCCATGCAGAGAAAAGATCATTGCAGTTACCACACAAAATACGTGAATACAATTTTCAAGAATAAAACATTTTATACATGTTATATAAATATAACATTTATTCAAGAATAAGACATCTTTTCTGTACAAACAGTTATTAACAAAATTTACTGTTTAAATTCTCAGATCACTATTGGATAATACAGACTGGCTTAAGGGTTGTCTTGTCAAATTTCAAAAATTAAAAAAAAAATTAAAAAAGGAGATTAATCTTCATCTTGGGAGATGCTAACCATAAAATGAGAGCAGTAAAACAAAGTCTTTTTTTTTTTTTTTTTTGGTCTTTTAGAGACAGGTCTCCCTGTAGCCCCAGCTGGCCTGGAACTCTCTATGTAGACCAGGCTGGCCTGGAACTCAAAGATCCACCTGCCTCTGCCTCCTGAGTGCTGGGATTAGAGGCATGCACCACCATGCCTGGCAATATGTATCTATATATTTTTTTAACACGACATGTTAATCTCATTGAAGTTGAAAGTATTATTTCCCAAATAAAACATCTGGAAGTTAATAAAATCAATTATACTACAGTTTATGTTTAGTGCCTCTAATTTAAAAAAATTGGAACAGTGATTCAAAGCATTCTGAAATTTGTATAATTCTTAAAATACAAAGGATACTTAAAACTCTTTTTTGAGCACTCTGCTTCCGTGCAGTCCGTGTCACCTCCGCTTCCCGGATCACAGGGGATGCCATCTCTCCAAAGATACTCCTAAAACAGTATAATTAAGCTCGTATACATCACTTATACATCAAAGAACTTTATCATTAGGATCCTGAGCTATTCAAGGTGAAGGTCACTCCAATAGCCAAATCTTGATCTTTATGCTATGAATGCCCCCTTGGCTTCAAATCTTGCTTATTTCTCCAAGTCCCGCTCAACTATTATCTACAAGACTTGTTTGTCTTTCTAGCACTCACATTATTTTTTCCTGCTGAGTTATTTTAAAACCTAGAATCTATAATGCAATAATTGCTTTGTAAAGGTAAATCTTCTGTTGAACTAAGGAGCTGCTTAATTGCAGAATTCTCTTCAAGGAGTTCTGCAGTCTCTAAAATACAGTAATTAGTTGCTTGATGAAGGGGCAGGTTTTAGGCCAGGTGTGGTTACTCACATCTGTAATCCCAGCTGGGTTACATAGTAAATTCCAGGCTAACCTGGAATACTGAGTGAGACCCTAAAAAAGGAAAAAAAAAAAAAAAAAAAGCTAACAAAATATGGGACAAGTTCTAAGAAATACATAATTAGGCAATTTTATCCTTATGTAATCATCCTAGAATATATTTTTAAAAAATTTATTTTAGTTGGGTGTGGTGGCGCAAGTCTTTTATATATATATATATAGATTATTTTTATTTTATGTGCATGAGTGTTACGACTGCATGTACATGTATGTAAGTGTGCCTGCGTGCAGGACCCAAGGAGGATAGAAGGGGGCATGGGTTCCTCATGGAACTGAAGTTACGGATGGTTGTTAGCCATCACCTGGGTGCTGGGATTCAAACCCAGGTCTTCTTCCTGCAAGAGTACCCAGTGCTCTTAACCGCTGAGCCATCTCTCCAGCCCCTCCACCCCCCAATATACTTATGTAAAGTAAGCCAGCCAGCATGCCAGTAGGCAATATAATCTTATAGGACCACTGTCATATTTGTGCCTGTTGTTGACCAAAACACTGTTACACAGCCATGACTGTACTTCAGGTCATGAGTACTATGCTGTTTAGCTTGGTGAAATGAAGAGGTAAAGAGAATTCTAGTAAACTGGAGGGAAACAGCCTTTCATGTTATTTCACCCATGTACCCTAAGGATGTCTCCTGTCTTACAATTATTGAAATCACAATACTATGGCTCTCCCCTGTCACTGTCATCCAAAGATTTATAGACTAAATTATGTATATTAAAAGTTTTAAAATAGGGCTGGAGAGATGGTTCAGCAGTTAAGAGTACTCACTGCTCTTGCAGAAGACCTGGGTTTGATTTCCAGCACCCATATGACAGTTAAAAACCATCCATAACTCCAGTTCCATGGGAATCCAACTCCTTCTTCTGACCTCTGCAGGCACTGCAGGACACAGGTGCACTTACATACATGTAGGCAATACACTCATACACATAAAATTCAAAAAAAAAATTTAAAACAGTAATCTAATATGCTTTTCTTCCACTTGAAACTTCTGGCAGCTCCCTCTGGCCTACAGAATCAAAGTCATATTTCCAAACATATTTACAACACAGGTTACAAAGGTTTACCTTTTGCCATCACCCACACACAAACATCCAACTACACAAAGCCTGAACATTTTTCATAACCTTACACCTCTGAGCATGTTTCTTTGACAGACCTTTTAGAGACACAAAGTTCCATGTAGGCAATTAGATTCTTTTTTTTTCCCCTGAATCCAAGGTTTGCTAGGCAAGTGTAGTCCCATAACTTTGTTCTTCTGTTTAACTTTACCTAGTCCCTTACAGTCTCACTGTGTTATAACAAAAGATGATAGTATGGATCCTCATAGGATTGCTCTAAAAATTAAAGTTTAGGGCACACACACAAAAGAATGTTTGGCGAAATGTTTTACGAATTAACAATGTACTATTATTATTCAACGTATCAGTTAGCAAGTCACCTCCTTTGAGAGGTTTCCGGTTCTCCAGACAGGGGGGCTCAATTGCTCTTTCTTCTGTTTTCCCATATTATAGTCCAATGCATCGAAGACATTGCTTTGCTGTCTTCACTACACTATCAGTTCTCTGAAGCCAAGGGGCTTGAATAACTCATCTTTCTCGCAGGGGAACCACATAATCTTCAGGGAACCACATAATCTTCAAGTCACACGAGAAACTCTACTACCTGATCCTAGCACCTTAAAGTCTAGGCTGATCACACAGTAAAAGCTATTAACACGTACAACTGATATGCGTTAATAATTTTAATAAACATGTTTATGTCTATACTGAGGTGCTAGAACCGCTAGCAGGGCTGTGATCTCGGGCCACCACCTACCCCGCCCACCTCTGGAAAGAACAGGGGGTGTGACAGCTCAGGACTCCAGGCCAAGCTGCGCTAGGGAGCGCTGGGCTAGTCCTTGCCTGCATCCCCACTCCACCTACGCCCAGCTGCCAATCTTCCATCCCAGCCCCAGGAAAGGAGTGCTACGGGCAACCCTCGGTTCCTCGGCTTCAGCTGCGTGGTCCTGCCAGCAGGCAAAGGCGCCCATCGTCCCCACCAGGACTGACCTGTCCATGGCTACAGCCTTCCCACCTAGAACCCTGCAAGCTTGACTCCAGCCTGGCCTCCGCGTTTCAGCCTTCCCGCTCTCCGGAAGCAAACCCTTTGACCCGGAAGTATGCCCTTGATTAGCCAGCCCTGGGAGTAGTAGGCGGTTCCCATCTGGCGCATGTGCAGCTTCCGCCTGCAGCCGCAAGCCCAGTGGGCGCAGGCGCGGAAATGTGATTATGCGTGACTGCGTGGCTGGGCGGTGCCGGCTGGGCAAGAACGGGGCGGGGCTGAGGGCGGGGTGGGAGCAGAGCCGAGCCGCCACCGCTTTGGGCGTGGTCCTGGTCCGGGATATCCTACGGAGAAAGGAAGTATATTGATAATGTGGAAAAATGTGAAGTCCTATTGGGGGTTCTTTGTGAGGAAGAATCTGGACTTGTCATTAATTTAAAAAATATTTTTATTATTTTTATTTTAGGTATATGAGTGTATTGCCTACGTGTATGTAAGTGCACCCCTGTCCGGCAGTGCCCACGGAGATCAGAAGAGGGTGTCGGGTTCCTCAGTTACAGAGGATTGTTAGCTGCCAGGTGGATGCTGGGAACTCAACCCGGGTCCTCTGCAAGAGCAGCCAGTGCGCTTGGCTTGAGCAATCTCTCCAACCCCCATTACTGTGAATGTAATTTTCAAAAATAAAAACATCAACCGAAAAAAAAAAAAACCCCAAAAAACAAAGAAAAATGGAAAAGTGAATGAATCCCAGCTGAAACAGGAGGATCACCATGACTTTGAAGACAGCCTGGAATAGAGAGTGAGACCATGACTCAAAAAAGAGGTGTTGCATGTAGTGCTATTCACATGCAATTCTAGCACTCAGGAGGTGGGGGCACAGAGGATTAGGAGTTCAAGGTCTCCTCAGTAACTAGCAAGTCGAAGGTCAGCTTGGGGTACATGAGACTATCTCAAAACACTAAAAAGTGGTAGTGCTTTCTAGCACAAAGTGCCATCTAGGTTAAAAAGTAGTATATTCAAGTCCTGAAATAAAGTTTTGATATTTTCCAGTTGAAAACAGTGATTCTTTAATAAACGAAAAGATTATAAAAATAATGGTTTTTATTGAGGATGTCTGCCACTGGAAAACTCCTTTTTCTATTCCCTCCTTGGTTCCTGTTAGAAATCCATTGGCTGACGTCTAGCCTTGGGCATTCATGTTCTGCTCTAATTCTGGAGAATGGCGTTCTCAGGAAGGCCCTCTTCCAGGCTTTGGCCTTGATCTAGATTCAGATCCCCTGTGTGGGTGCTGATTCTTCACGTGGAGAATGGAGATAAGCCAGGCATGGGGGCACATGCCTGTAATCTCAACGCTTGGGAGGCAGAGGCAGGAGAATCACCTCAAGTTCTAGGTCAGCCTGCTTTCTATATCAAGTTCCAGGTCAGTTGAGGTTACATAGGAAAACTGTTTCAAACAACAATAAGCAGCAAGAATGGAGATAACAATTTTATCACAGCATTGTGAGGATTTAAAAGGATTTCTAATGTATTTTGTACCTTGAAAATCACCAAAATGTCGTTTCTCCTCTTTCAGTAACCTTCTCCAAGAGTTATGTCTTGGTGTTCTCTCATTTGCTTCACCCTTTATTATTTTTTTAAATTTATTTTTATTTTTTATATTTTGGTCTTTTTGAGAGCCCCAGCTGGTCTGAAACTCTCTACATAGACCAGGCTGACCTTGAACTCAGAGATCTACCTGCCTCTGCTTCCCAAGTGCTGGGACTAAAGGCCTGCGCCACCATACCTGGCTTGCCTCACCTTTTAATTTTCCTGTACCAAAGTACTTTTGTTTTTATGGAAGGGAAGCATTATCCTAGTGGGTTTCATCAGTGCTGGCCAGTGGCTCAGTTCTTCCATGTGTCTCTGACAACTGAGTTTCAATGTTTTCCATCCATTTATTTATTCTTTTAGAATTTTACTTGTTTATTTCGGTATTGTTTTGTGCTTGTGTTACATGCATGTGATTGTGTGGGTGTGTGCAAATAAGAAGGCCAAAACAATATGTCAGTGTTTTCCTCTGCCTATCTCCCCCTTATTAACTTGAGACAGGCTCTCTCTCTCTCTCTCTCTCTCTCTCTCTCTCTCTCTCTCCTTCTCTCTCTCCTCTTTCTCTTTCTCTCTCTCTCACCAGAAGCTTACTGTTTTGGTTAGACTGGATGGCCATCGAGCTCCTCCTATCTGCCTGTCTCCAGTCCTTAATGATCCAGGGACCCACAGCTATGCCTGGCTTTTTACATGAGTGCTGGGGATTTGAACTCAGGTCCCCATACTTACAGAGTACCCACTGAGCCATCGCTAAACACCCAAATTTTTTTTGTGTGTGTGTGTGTGTGTGTGTGTGTATGGGTGTGTGTGTGTGACCTCATATAATACATGTGAGGTGCACTAAAATGACCCAATCATAGAATAAACAGTTTAGGGCAAAGAATTGGCCCTATATTCAAGCCCATATGCAAAAAGATGAACTGTTAGAAAGTACACTAGAATTCAGTTTAAGGTTATTTTTGTTGGTGGCGGGTTTTTTTTTTTTTTTTTTTTTTTTTGGTCTTTTTGAGACAGGGTCTCCCTGTAGCCCCAGCAGGCCTGGAACTCACTATGTAGATCAGGCTGGCCTCAAACTCACAGAGATCCTCCTGCCTCTGCCTCTGCGTCCCTAGTGCTGGGATTAAAGTTTTGTGTTTTTTTTTAATTCTACTTACTTAGTGTGTGTGTTGGGGGGGGTTGCGCATGCACATTCCTGAGCACATGCTGCAACACATGTGGGTCATAAGGCAACTTGAGAAGTGGGTTCTCTCCTATCACATGGGCCTTAGAGATTGAACTCAGGTTGACAGGCTTGCCAGAAAGCACACAGGCACCTTCACCCATTGAGCCATCTTGCTGGCTCTCAATTTTTAAAATAAAATTTAAATTTTATTTTATTTATTATTCTGTGTTTGTGTGTGGGGGGTTGTGTGTGTGTGTGAGAGAGAGAGAGTCAGAGACAGAGACAGAGAGGGCAAGAGCACAAAGGCACTCACTGGTCCTGGAATTCACTTTTGACACTTTTAACTAGTCGGCATGAACACCACAAAGCACATTAAAATATTTCAAAATATACACATTTAATAACTTTTTTAAAACTGTGGAATAAAGTCTATGTGGCATATATTGTACACATGCTAAGTTTTTGTTTAGGGTTCTTGGCTGCTGACAAGACAGAAATGCTTAAATCAAAAAAAAAGGATTTACTGGACGCATATCAAAAACTCATGGAATTGTTAAGAAACCAGATAAAAAGTTTGGGAAAGCACAGCTCCTCTGGAGGTAAAAACCAGGAAGCAGGCAGCACATAAACACAGAACCCGAACTTTCTGATTTAACACACTTAGCACTTTATCCTTAACAGCTGAGGAAATCAAACACAAGGATACCTCCCTCCTAAATAATTCAGAAAATATCTCCTCTTAACTAAAATTGTTGGGATGTCATTGTCTTGGACTAAGCTATTGCCCTGGGCTCCAACACTGGGCCAGACCAGAAAAGAGACATTCATGCAATGGTCACATAATCACATGGCACTTGAAAACAGACCAGAAGCCTGACAGAAATCAATCAGAAGATGCCCAGGCAGCCAGAGCTAGCATGATAAAGAAATCTCCCTATTTTAAAATATTTATTATTTTTATGTTTATGAGTGTATTGCCTGGATGTATGGAAGTGTACCTGTGTTGCACAGTGCCTGCAGAGGTCAGAAGGGGGCATTGGATTTCCCTGGAATTGGCGTTAAGGATGGTTGTTAGCAGCTATGTGGGTACTGGGAATTGAACCTGGGTCTTCTGCAAGAGCAGTCAATGCTCTTAGCCACTGAGCCATCTCTCCAGCCCCAGAAACCCCCCTATTTTAATCCTGCAGCAAAAGTAACTTTGAAATAATCAATCTTCTCCTTATTTTCTTTGTTCAGCCCCTTTCTGTTTAAAAAGTTAACACATCTGCACATCCGCTCACCTTGTGAGCCTCCCTGTTTTGTACTTAGGATGCTGCCCAACTCATGAATCTCTAATAAAAGCCAAGAATAACTTCAAAATTCATGTTGAAATTTTACTCTTTGACACTTCTAAAACAAAGATAAGATGTTGTAATAGTCACAACAAGCCCTTAGAACATTAATATTGACAGAGTGTCATACTTAGGACTGGGTTTTGTGGTGCATACCTGTAATCTCAGTACTTGGGAGGCAGAAGCAAAAGGATTCCCCAAAGTATGAGATCAGCCTGCTGTTCTTACAGAGTTCTAGAGTGGCCAGGATTACACAGCAAGATATTGTCTCAAAAATAAAAAGATGGAACTGGCATGGTGGCACATGCCTTTAATTCCAGCACTTGGGAGGCAGAGGGAAGCAGGTCTCTGTGAGATCGAGGCCAGCCTGGTCTACATAGTGAGCTTCAAGCCAGATGGGGCTACAGGGAGACCCTGTCCTAAAAAAAAAGGCAGAAGAAAAAAGGAAAGAAAAATGCCATAATTCACAAACATAAATTTCCTCCAATGTCCCAATGATACCCTCACTGTCCCCATCAGTATAACAAATGTAGAAGCATGCATTTGTTTGTCATGTTGCTTTGTTCTATCTGAGTTAAATAAGTCTCTCAGACTTTTTCCTAAATCATTGACATTTTTTTGTGTTTATGCTTACTCGCTCTATTTTGTTGCTGCTTTTGCTTTTTCAGTCCTGGAATCAAGCTCAGAGACTCCTGCTTGCTTGGTAAGTTTACGTTTGAACTACATCTCCAGCTTCACTGTTAGATGGCATATGAGGTACCTTTCAATATCTGCTGAATCCCCTCCCTCCCCAAGCCCTCTGGAAGAATTCTCCTTTTACCTGGTATTCTGATCTGTTCTTCCTTTTCTTTCTTTCTTTCAATGAATTCTATTTTTGGTCAACCTACATGACACATTTTTGTCTTAAAAAACAATCTCTCTACTCCAAATCACAGTCAAAATAAAAGAAGAGTTCAAGGGGGCTGGAGCGATGACTCAGAGGTTTAAGAGTGCTGGCTGCTTTTGCCGAAGACCCGGGTTCTATCCCAGCACCCTC